TACTTACTGGTATATAAAAAAAAACCGAGAGTCTTAAATTTATGACAATGCAATCTTAATAGCGTTCGTAAAACTTTTAGACTACATTTCAAGAGACGTCCTCTGTGCTCACTCGTATTCATACACGTATAGTATGTGCATGCCTGTAGCAGGTAACATGTGAAAAAGCTGTCGTAAAAATTCTATCAACTCGATTAAATTATAACAAGTGGATTTTCATGTTTTTCTGTCGCATTTATGTGTTTTTATTGTGCTAATTTATACAGCGCTCGGCGCCCTTTTGAACAGCTTGTGGAAAATTTGGTAGCACACACTCGCGCTCAGCTCACATTAAGACACACACACACACACACACACACACACACACTCAAGGATACGTATACAAGGGCGCTAGATAGGCTCCTGTGCAATAATACTTGGCACACATTTAGTGCCACATTGCGGAGGCGGCACCGACAATGACGAAGTCTCCATCGACTACGGCGGAGTTCATGGTTGGGACATTTCGGCGCTGCTGCTGCTGCTGCTGTTTGTTGTTCCGGCTTGTGTTCAGGTGTAACGTTATATGCCGCCCAGTTGGGAAAGTTTGATGCCGCCTGGGTGTCGGCCTGCTCACCCATGCCACCTTCTCGCCTATCTTTCTTTTGTCTTATCAAACTTTGGCGCGCATGTGTTTATTACACAAATGGCACTTTTGTGGAAACGTTTTTTTACTGCTACCTTTTAGTCCTTCTACTTAAAATTTTTATATACTTAGTATAGTACCTTCGTGTTCTTTTGGCCAGCTTGTTTTGCTTTTTATTAAATATAATTAAAACCACCCCGCACGTAATCCAAACAAATTTCAATATTCTACTAATTCTTATGTACGAGGTGCGTTTCAAAGTAAACTTTCGGAATGAATAATTTGTATGTGACTGTTTGGTTAGAAGGGTACATTCCTTACCGACTGCCAATAAAAGTTGTATGACATTTCCTTCACTGATAGGGTGCTTATGTCATCGGTAAAAAAAATAAGCATCCAACAAAGAGTCAAATTCAATTTTTTTTAATTGATGAGTTCCAATTGACACACCAAGTTTATTGTTTTTTATTGTTTATCTCGTGGAAGATTTCGTGACAAAAAAAAATGTACTTTTAGCCAAGGTATAGGCCATTCAATAGGCTTGTACCACCACCTTGAAGTCCATCCCGGCCAACGAGCTTAAATCATAAAACACTATTAGTTCGACATGCTTTTAGACCGTGCAAATCGCTGTAAAGAGTCCGAAGGGGACTATTTTAAATTGGATAGTGGTTTGTTTTTGTTATTTTAAACAAGAGAGAACGCTACAGTCGAGCAAGCCCGACAGTGTAATACCCTGTACCCAGGTAAACTTCCGAGACTGAGGTATATGCGCCCATAGCAGCAGCAAAAAGAGGAAGAAGAAGAGCGAGCTTGTTGCTGCAGTTTGTGGGGGTTGTACTGGCGAGAATTTGTTTTGCTAATAACCTTTCTTAGAATTGACCGAATTGAATAAAATTTTGAACAACAGTAGACAATTATATATAAATTATGTGTGCAAAGTTTGGTTTAGGTAGCATTTGAAATGTGGACGCTATTGACGAAATTCTGTAGCGGGGGGAAGGGGGGGGAAATTCCAAAAAATAAAATAAACTCGTCCTTACTCGGACCTAGGAGAATCTGGATGCCAACTTTGGTTATTCTAGCTTTTATAGTTTCTGAGATCCTCGCGCTCATCCAGACGGACGGACGGACATGTCTAGATCGATTTCTCTCGTCATGCTGATTCAGAATATATATACTTTATGGGGTCGGAGATGCTTCCTTCTGCATGTTACATACTTTGCACAAACCTAATATACCCTTTTTACCCTTCGGGTACAGGGTATAAAAAGTCCTGTTTGCTTTGAAACCCACCTTGTATTATTCGCAAGACAAGCAATACACACAAATGGTCCTGTATTCATGACAAACCAAGTTTTTAAATATTTATAATGCTCCCCATTAATTGTTTTTGTTGTTGCTGCTTAGTTTCATCAACCATTCAAGCTCATTTGCCTATTTTAAAATTCAGAGCAGGCGTAGTTTTATATTTGACACCAGCCTGCTCGAATCCGAAACAGCAAGTCACCCACACAGCATCCCAACACCCGACCGCACAGTTTTTCCATTTGTCACGCACACACGTACCAAATACCACACACATATATTTTTTACGCGCATATCATATTGCCCAAAAAACACCCATACATACTATATGTACTATATACTCGTATATACATACGCACGTACGCATCATGAACTTGAATTAAAAGACACCCCTTTGTAGATCTGCCGCACGACTCCAAAAGTAAATAGAAACACGTACAGTAATTATCATCACCATTGAGTGGGCTGGAAAATATAGTACAAATTTTATTAATTTTGTGGGCTATTCGTGTAACCGGTGCGAGTCCTTATATAACTCCACTACTTTCAACTCATTTCCGTTACCATTTGCAGCTGCTGATGGGTTAAATTCCTAATTGAGATCGTCGTCTGTGATTTCCCTTATTTCTGCTGTAAGTGCAGACTATGGGCGTGAGTGTGCTGTGAACGTAAATTCTCATTTTGGAATCGTAAGTCTTTTGACACTATTAGATGCGATAACGATAGTTCTGAGTCACGCATGTAAAGAAGGTTGGCGATAGGCTTGATGTTCTCGTTAAAATGACTAAAGTGAGTCACGGACTTTCAGTGCCTTGATTAGATTACTAAAGTATAGTCTGTTAGGTGTGTAACACGAGGGCAAGCCTAGATCTATCCATATGAATATTTGCTCTATTCGGCGTATTATGTAATGGGATTTTTCAGAATGCAGTCGAATTGGATATACAACAACTCCATGCAGCGGATGGAAAACTGGTATTGACACCCGATGCGACTTGCAGTCGTGAATTCAATGAGCGGTGGACAGATTAAAGGTCAATTGGGAGTTAATGTAACAAGGAGTAAAATGTTTTAAATAACCCATGAAAATCCGAATCTAAAATATACTATCATGGTACCTAAACCTAAGCTTTTACCTCGCCATATGAAGGCACGTATTGAGTTCGCACACAGATACCAATTCTGGGAGAAGGAATGGCGTAAAGTCATTTTCAGTGACGAAAAAAAGTTTAATCTAGACGGACCTGATAGCTACAAAAAATATATATAGCCATATGCGTTTTACCGTCATATCTGCTGCATTCGTTCTGCTTCTGAACGAACTATCAGCTCGAGCATACTCAGGAATCGAAACCTAAAAACATAGTTTGTTTGCCCGCCACTTTTTTTTCTATGCACAAAGTTCAAGTTCAAAGTGTCTTTCATATTTATACTCTGTACCCGAAAGGTAATAAGAGAGAACGCTGCTGTCGAGCAGCTTGACAGTGAAATATCCTGCACCCAAATAAATTTCCGGCGCTGAGCTATATGCGCGAATGGTGGAAAATCAAATAAATAAATCAATCTGGTGTTTCCTCGATATTAAGAGAGTCTACATACCAAGTTTAGTGAGTGTGAACTCTACTGCCTCCGAAATCTAGGCGTTCATTTAGACAGACGGGGATATACTCGTAGGGTATATTAGGTTTGTGCGAAGTATGTAACATGCAGAAGAAAGTATCTCCGACCCCATAAGGTATAGAGTTGGGCCTGTTCACAGGTATCTCCATTTGACCAAACAGTTGGTAAAGTGTGCGACTTACATCACAATATATGTCGGATCGCTTGCTTTGCACAATCTGACCAGAGATAAGACAACACAGTTTTTATCTAAAGATAAGGTAGACGACGCAACAAGCGAGCACTCGGAGCTAACTGATTACGGCTACAAATGCTTCCCCCGAATCAAAAAGCCACCAACATTAGCGACCGGTATAAATAGTGCCAAATCGAGTACGTAGCGCGCAACAGATCCGGCACAGAATGGATAATCGAACGCGAGTTGAGGTCATCCAAGTGCAACCGGCACCGCCATCAACGACGGTCATCGTCCAGCCTCCGCCAAAGGAGAAAAATTGCTGCTGCTGTCCTTGCTGTCCATGCTGCTGTGGCTGTGGGGATTGCTGTTGCTGTTGTACCATTATGTAGCCATATTTGAGGGCAAGGCAATCGATGTTGTGAAAACATTAAACAAAATCAAGGGCCACTAATCTCGTAATACCTTACGTTAATTTAACTTCCTACGGGTGCTACATACTTTGTTTGAAAAATTTTGTATACAATACAATTTAATGACATTTTTAAAATTATGTATTGTGAGAGTTTCGCAAATAATTTGAGTGCCGTTATTGAGAGCTATTGCCAATGCCAAGTAGTGCCCTGCCTCTTGTCGTACATAAATCTCGATGCCAACATAATAAAGAGCAAAAATTTAATAACAACACATTGAAATTTTTAGTTTTATGACAGGGCTAACCCTTTGGAGGTCACATAATTTTGAAGTTAGTCTGTACGGTTATTACATCACACACTCAAAGGCACAACCGCACCCATTCCAACAATAACGTATTATTTATATGCTTTTCAATTTACCAATAAAACCGAAAAGTGTCAAAAGTGTATGGCAATGTTGCCAGTCAGTTGGTTCTGGGACGCCAGGCAGCGCCTTTTACAATATCCGCAGCCAGTTTGTGGGGCTGTGTTCATTTGATAAAACATTTTATGACTTTTGGTCTTTAGTTGCAACCACAGCGTCGAAGTTTTTAGCCAAGAACTTTGACAAGGGTTGCTGCTGACGCTGTGGGCTAATAACAACAATTTACCACAAATTGTCTGAGTACTTTTTTACTAAATATTTTATCTAAAGCACAAAGCCCTGTTACTCATATCGGTGTGTGGCCTTATCAGTACAGCTCATTGATCAAATTCGTAGGCTTAAGATAAGCTTCGTTCGCAGGAGGAACGTTCCAGCCACAAATTTTAGCCAAAATTCGTGTTCAGTTTAATTAGCACTGTACAATTGCTCACTTGTTTCAGCCGAAAGCATAACAGCCGTATAGAGACCACCAGTATGTACAATCCCGGGTACCAAGTGGATGTTATAGATCCATACTACCCGCCGCCTGTTGAAGTCATAGATGTGATACAGGGTCCGCCCGTATACCCACCCACCTATATTGTCGAACAGCAACAGCCAACCCAGCCGGCCGTGGTGGTGGTGGAAGAACCGGATAGACCAAATCGGGACCTGCAATGCTGTATGCTATTGACAGCCTGCTGTGTAATGGAGGAGTGTGGACTGTGCGTGATATGTTGAAAACTACGAACAATTAGCTGCATTCGTTAAGCAAATATTCCAAAATTAAAACTGATTTAAAACTGATTAAGCTATAAAAGACACCGCCCACATAAATATATACACTATATGTATATGGTACTATAAGTACAACCTCTGTGAACTTCTGTGAAATATTGTCATTTTATTACACCCGTACGATTAAAAGGGTATATTAGGTTGGTGCAAAGTATGTAACAGAGGTCATTTCTGACCCCATAAAGTATATTCTACAAGTAGTATAAAGTATATTATTGAGCAGCATGACAAGAGAAATCGATCTAGACATGTCCGTCCTTCTATCCGTCTGTCTGTCTGGATGAACGCCTGGATTTCGCAACAGAATTTCGTCATTACTGTCGACATTCAAAAGCTTCTTCTGCTTCTTTTTGATTCTCCTAGGGGCGCGTTTGTCTGGGTCCAGGGTATTTATTATCGGGCTTGCTCAGCGGTAGCGTTCTCTCTTGTTTTAATAATGCAATGGTCAATTTGACATAACTGTACGATATAATTTTTCCAATGTCCTACAAATGAATCAGTTTAGTTAATTACTTCGGAAATAAGGCTAAATTAAGGGCTTTCGCCTATTACAAGAACCTAAATTTTCACTGCGAAGTGAAGTGGAAGGAAAATGGCAGACTGTTTTGGCTCGCACTGGTATATAAATAAAATAAATTTAATTAAATAAGAAATAATCAATACATACATAAGTGGAGACATAGTATGTATGTTTATGTACAGTGGTAACAGCATACACTGGTCGGCACAATTATTTTGACGAACTGTACTCACGACTATCGGTGCTGGTTGTTTTTAGTTTCAAGGAATAACGGTACAATTTTCATACGGGATATAGAGTTCATAGCAACAACAATATGTAGGCAAAATATTTTGTCTATTACTCTTCACACCTTCTTTCTACAAATGACAATGTGAGTTGACTGCGGATTCAGGCACGGCATAAGTATTTTGACCAAATCTTTGTCGCCGTTTTCGCGCACGTTTTGTCAAGTGATACTAAAATAACTTTGCTGTAACCATTTTTGTTGACCTTTCAACATTAAATTCATTCAAATTTGATTGAAAAGTTATAAATACAATGGGAAAAACAGCAGAATTAAATTATGTTGTTAGAGCCTCAATAGTGGCGAAGTTTAATGCCGGCGTAAAACCAAAAGACATTGCAAATGAATATAATTTGTCGCGGCAAACAGTCCACTATCAAATTAACAAATATAAGACCCACAATGACGTCAAAAACTTGCCTAGTTCAGGTGCTAACCGCAAAACAACACCCATTGAAGATCGAGTCCTATTGCGGGAATTTAAAAAAAATATTCATTTAAGTCCGCAAGCTGCTGCAGATCAATGGAATAAGTCGACCAAGACTCCAATCAGTGAGCGTACTGTTCGGCGACGCCTAAAAGAAGAAGATTTTAAGACATACAAAGCGAAGGACATACCTTACATATCAAAGGTGAACAAGCTCAAAAGATTGGCTTTTGCAAAGGAGCATCTGCATAAGCCAAAAGAGTTTTGGAGAAGCGTTCTATGGACAGATGAAAGCTCCTTTGAATATAATTCATCAAAAACAAAGATTTTTGTAAGGCTCCCACAGTTTCAAAGACAAAAAAATATCCCCGTATGTCAAAAAGTGAGCCATGGCGGAGGCTCAGTCATGTTCTGGGGATGCATTGCGTACAATGGGTTAGGTGATTTCGTTCCCATCATCGGCTCAATTAACCAGCAACAATATTTGAGTACCCTTAACGAAAACGCATTCCCTTCCGGTGACAGGCTGATTGGAGAATCATTTATCCTGCAACAGGATAACGCCCCATGCCACAAAAGCAAAATGATAAGAGCATTTTTAACCGATGTTGGTGTTACTACTCTGGATTGGCCACCACAAAGTCCGGACTTAAACGTTATTGAGAATGTGTGGTCTCTTGTAAAACGTAAAAGAAATGCGTCTTTGCATAAAACCGAAGAAGAAACTATTTCCGAAGTCACTTCTCTTTGGAAAGAGATACCATTAGAGGTCCTTCAAAATTTAGTGGACTCAGTTACAAGACGTCTTCAAAAAGTTATCGAAGCCAAAGGCGGGTATACATTTTATTAATCTACCATCAATTTCTTATGTTTTGTTTAGTATTAAGCTTTGTTTTTTTTGTTTATATCCATTGTCAAAATACTTATGCCAACCCATGAAAATTACCTTGATTTATAATTTTAAAAGTTCTTATAAAAATATATCCTTTGAATTATTTTTAAGTTTGTAATACCAATATGGAATTGAGAAAAAAAGTTTCCTTTGATATCTTAAACCAATAACCAGTTATTGACAAAAATGTATGATTTTCTTCTCGTCAAAATAATTGTGCCGACCAGTGTACATTTACATCAGAATCAATCAAAACATATAGAGATGTGTTTATGTTCGTGTAGGTGTGCATTGATTCAAAGCAGCAACAACAAGATAGGTGCGGGCAGAGCTTGGACAGAGATTAGATTTGTGCCTACAATATACAAGTATACAGGGTATAAAAAACGAACTTAACAATCTGATCTAAGTTTCAATAATATATGTATACTAATCAATCAGTAATACTAAACTAGTATATCCTTTGGGTACAAGGTACAAAGACTTGGTACTTGTTCTGGTTATACCCTGTACCCGTAGGGTAAAAAGGGTATATGAGGTTTGTGCAAGTACAAAGTATATACTATATTCTGAATCAGCATGACGAGAGAAATCGATCTAGACATATCCGTCCGTCCGTCTGTCCGTCCGTCCGTCCGTCTGCCCGTCTGGATGAACGCAAAGATCTCAGAAACTATAAAAGCTAGAATAACCAAAGCTGGCATCCAGATTCTCCTAGGTCCGAGAAAGGACGAGTTTATTTTTATAGCCTGTACCCAAAGGGTGAAAGGCTATACTAGTTTTGTGCGCATGTATGTAACACACAGAAGGAGGCGTGGCAGACCCCACAAAGTATATATATTCTTGATCAGGATGAGAAGACGAGTCGATATAGCCATGTCCGTCTGTCCGTCTGTCCGTCTGACCGTCTGTCCGTCTGTCTGTATGAGCGCAAGGATCTCAGTAAGTACAAGAGCTAGGATAACCAAAATTGGTATCAAGGTTCCTATAAGCCCTAGGCAGAACGAGTTTGTTTATTTTTTCTGATACACCCCCCCACTCCCCCGCAATTCATGATAGGTCAATTCTGAAGAAGTTATAGCCATAAGTAAAATCGCTGCTCATGCGCTGCCTGCAGCTCTGTCGGCAGCGCTGCCCGCAGCTGTTGTTGTTGTTGCTGCTTTTGTTCAACTTTGTGCTGCATACATACACGCATATAAACACGCATAGGTACGTGATGTAAATGTATGCTGTTTAAACTGAACATAAACATGTATTCTAATTTAATTTAATTAATTATTTTAATTAATTCATTCATTATTTTTTTTAATAATTTAATTTTTTTTAAATTTTTTTTTTTTTTAATTTTTCCTTTTTGTGGAGAGTACAGGCTATTTTACTGTCGGGCTTGCTCGACTGTAGCGTTCTATCTTGTTTTTGCTTCTGCTAGAGGCGCATATACCTCAGTGTCGGGAGTTTACCTGGGTACAGGGTATTTCGCTTTCGGGCTTGCTCGACTGTAGCGTTCTCCCTTGTTTCTCTGTTTGTTTAAAGTGAACAATGTCGGGTAAGTACGGGAGGCATTAACCTAAGTCCCTAAAAATGAAACAAGCCTTTAGTTGTAGTACTTTTTCAATTGTACTCGTATGCTGACTGATGAAATATATTGTTGAAATGTTTAAACAGATAGCAATGCTTCAAAGATTAAGGGTCCTCCATAAAGGCGAATGTCAACGTAAAGATGATGCCCATGTTCTTATAATTAAAACCAATTTTCCTGAAACTTCTAGTGAGTTTCTGTTCCGTTTATGTTTTTTGCTTGTATAAAACTAAATTTTTGTTTGAAATTTTGTGCGTGTTCGTTGTTGCTGGAGTTGTGGCAGCAACAGCCTCAAAAACAACGAACCAAAGCAACTAAACGACAAGGCCAAAACCAGAACAACATCAACAGCTTGGCTTACAGCAAAACCGAGCAACAACAGCAAAGAGCCAACAACAATGTATGTACATACATATGCGTGCTATGCGCCCTTTATAACTTGAGCTGACAGCAACAACTACGTGCAATATGCCTTTTTAACTTGATTTAATGAGCGCTGGGAAAAACATCAACAAGAAAAATGAAATAACTGTCATTGAAGACATGAGAAAGGGGGCAAGAGTATTTTTGAGGTGCTCCATTGATGGCTGCCAGAAACAAGACAGCAGCCAGGGCAGAAGGATATGTTGTGGCTCAGCTCAATATGCAGAAAATTAACATTTTGTATTACTAAAGACAAACATCTGCCTATCTAGTAGGTAAAAAACACATACAAGTATTACACACACCGCATGCTCCCAGAAGAATTTCATTTCAATGGTAAATCCAATGATTTATAACATACTAGCGATCCGGCTTGCGTAGCTGCGCCACTGAATTGTAGTGCTTTTTAAGCTTTGAGCAGAAATAAGCCAGAAAACTATGGTTGATCGTTTTGAACAATCGCCACGAAACACAGGTGCACCCATGGGACTATTTTAAATATTGCCACAAAATTTGGTCAAAAATTTGGAATATACTATAGATTACAATGCCAACAGGGCAACCTGAATTATATCTAAAGGTACGTTCAGATCTGCAAATATATTAAGGTTTTTAAATTTCTTTGCATTTTTCAAACGAAAAGCTTGTGTTGAAAATTTCAATTGCAATTTTGGGGTACACCCTCATACTTCTACCCACCAGGAACTACGACGAGGGATAGAGCAAAGAAATCAATTGCCAACAGCCAAACCTATATTACATATGTATATTAACATAGCGTATCTAGATACATACATATGTATGTTTGTGCAGCCTGATAAGACTTGACAGCTAGATTCCAGCAGACCAAACTCTTAAATACCCCTTCCTAAAAAA